CAAACTGGAGATAGGAAGAAAAGGAGGCGCCGAGAAAGGAAGAATCCTTCACAGCCACAGAAGGAACCGGCCATTCTGCAGTTCCCACTTCGCTGGGTTTTAGGATCGAAATACATAAACCAGGCTCCCCATCCTGGGAGCTCGAGCGGCCGGCTGGCCGGCTTTGGCTCTCCCTCCCTGAAGCCAAGCTGGGCCGATTGATGGACGAGCAGGCGCTTCGGAGGGGAGAGCGAGAGGGGAAGGGGCCTTGGCTGCGAGAACGCGCGCCGCCACCGTGGTGTGCGCGTTCCCCGGAGCTTGGCTCTGTTTGCTTCCGAGCCTGAGCAGAGGAGCGTCCCCGGCTCACCCATCGCCTGGCCCGAGGAGGGTCCGGAGCTGAGCCGTTGACGTCTTCGTGGCCCCCGAGGGATGCTCCTGAAGGAAGGCGAGGGGCTGAGCGGTTGGATCGGCGCAAACCATTCCCAGCGACCTCCGCAGTGTGCTGGGTTGGCGGATTTGGGCATCCCGTTTGCATCTGGTTTTCTTCCCGGTGGCTTCTTATTCCCGCCGCCCTTTTTCTTCTTCTTCTTCTTCTTCCTCCTCCTCTTCCCTCCTCTCTTTTTCTTGCAACTCAAATCTTGGCGCCATGGGGAGACGGTACTGGGAGCTCTTTTCCTTCTGCTTTCTCTTCTTCCTCCTGGCAAAGTCCCGGCTGCAGGATAAGCAGTGGCGGGAGAAGAGCCTGACGTGAGGGGTCAAGAGGAAGCCGAAAGAAGCCCGCAAAACGGGTGGGGTGGGGTGGGGGGAAACAACGCCCCCAATAATAATCCACCAACCCCAGATCTGCAGGCTCTCTTCGTTTCCTCCCTTGCTCCTTCAAAGGAAAGTTGGAGGTAAGAGGGACTGGGCGGGATGGGCTTTGGATCGGGGCGATCCGCGTTGGCTTTTCCATCAAAGGCGCCTTGGGACTGACGGTCCCTCCCGGGAAATCTTGGCAAAGGGAGAGGAAAAAAAGCCGGGGGGGGGGTGGAGGGGGGAAAGGGTCATTTTCCTTCTAATCTAGGAAAACGCCGTTAAGGAGTTGGGAGAATTTGGCCAGGTTGGCGGGGGTGCTGCGTGTTGAAGGAAGCTGGCCAGGTTCGTCCTAGCAAAGTACGGATTCTGGTTTTTTGTTTTTGTTTCAATCCTTCAGCCTTGCCACTCTTCGGGTTTCCGAAGCTGGTCAGATCCTTGGGCAACAGCATGGTGCAGCTGGACGCTGGTCTCTGAGGAACCAACCTGGTTTTATATGAATGAAACTGCGAGTGGGGGATCATAAGGCATAGCTGTAAATCATGGGGCATGTGTGTGTGAGAGTGGGGGGAGGATGGGAGGAAGGGAGAGGGAGTCAGTCCTATCTTGCTTCTAGCCCATTTCCCTGGATTTCTTACCAGCCAGTAGCACTGAATTTGGCTTTCCCCTTTTTTCCCCTTGTTTCCTTAAAGGAGAGAGAGGGGAGGGGGGAGGAGGAGAGAGAGGCACACTGGATAGAGCAAATTGAATGCAATGAAGAGAGGTTTGGGTCTGCTTGTACTCTCTTTAGCCCCCATGGGGACAAGTGATAAATTGATGGGGGGGGGGGGGACACTGCTTATAGCCTGCTGTTTCTTTGCTTTTTGTTTTTAGGACAATAGATAGAGGTGTGTGTCTGTGTGTGTCTGTGTGTGTAGAGCTCCTCAGAATTTGGAAAAGGCAGAAGTGGAGGCAATCTCACAAATTTATTACCAAGAAAACTGTGCTGAATATAATTCACAATTCCAACAAAGTCCAGGGTTTTGTTTAGCCCTGCGAAAACAGAGCATCCTTTGTCCAAAAGGGCTCTTGAGTTCTTTTGCAATTGTTCCCTTGCTAAAGGTCCTCCATTTTTATTAACCATAAGGTGGGCTTGTTTGAATATCTGAACCTGCAGACCATTCTGTTGTGAAGCTGTGTTTGGGGGGGGGGTCCCCCCCGCCCGCCAGTGATCTTGGATGGATAGTTGCAAGCATCTGTGCTACAGTCATAAATTTGGATGCTTCTTCCTCTTCCTCTCTCCCTTTTTGTTGGGTTAATTTGGGGTTCCTTCTTCCCACCCAATATTTTTCTCTTCTTCACCTCTACTTACCTGATGCTGTGATTGCATAATAACCATTACCCAAGGTGTTCTGGGAAAGTGATGATTTGCTAGGGGAAGTGTTATGGTGGCTAACCATGACTGCCTTTGAAACTTGGCTGAAACTCAGCAGTGAGCCAATATGGTCTCAGTGGAAAGCAGTTCGTTCTCCTTGGAAGTTGGACACCCCTTCAAGCTGGTGTGTGGCCAGGCCTGTCAACCTGGCCTAATTTTCTCCTTCTGGAAAGTTAGGTCTAGATTAAGTTTATTAGCCACACTTTCTAAGCTAAAGAAGCAACTTCTGCCACCATCCTTTCCCCACGCCCCGTGAATTGGATTTGTGCTGTTGCTTGGAGAAGACAAGATGCCTGTGCCAAGATCGCTTCCTAAGGTTTCTCTCCCCCCACCCAAATGCAGGGAATGGCATGGTTGCAGTAAATGCTTGACTTGACCTGACGAGTAAGCCCCTAGCAAATTATGTTGTGCCCCCTTCCTTCTGTTCCCCAATGGCTTGAGAAGAGTGAATAAAAATCGCATTAAGACAGCTGCCAGCAGAAGATCTCATACCTGCCCTGGGATTTACAGAAATGCAGAGATATTTTTTTTAAAAAAACCGCAACAACCAAGTATTTACATTCCTGTGAAGCACACTGGTAGGAACAAAAACTCCAGTTTCTCTCCACTCCTACCCTGTAAGATCAGAGGAGGAAGAAGAGGAGTCCTTAGAAAAATCAGTTTGGATACTGTACAACATTCCCCTCCCACCCTTCCAAGAAAATGTCTGTTTTCTGCTTGATCTAAATTTTAAACTGAATGTATATATGTATGTATATGTGTGTGTGTATGTGTATATAAATATTTATATGTGTGTGTGTATACACACATAAATATTTATACACACACACACACACACACACACACATTCTTTCTCCTCCCTCCATATCCAGGCAAGCAAAGCATGTTTATCTGAGAATTACCTTTCAGCCTCATTCTAGGAACGAGCTTCGTGGAACAATTTTGAGCCAGGACATATAAGCTGTTTTTATTGCCTTAGGGAGAATGGCAGAAGGACAGAGGGGTACTTCTTGTTATTACCTAAAAGGTAATATGACTCCTGTACAGGTGTGGTGACAGCCATGGAGCATTCAGTATAGTTAGCTAAAAGATCTATGTTGAATGCAGTGGTAAGGAGGGGAATGTAAACAGTGAGGCAGAATGGTACAGTGAGAATGGCTGAGTCTTCCTCAATGCTTATATTTTTTTTTTCCTGCGTACCTGTATATCTGTGTGTTTCTAGCAGGAAACCATGTATGGATTGGACATAGCATGGGATGGCTCACAAAAGAATTCACATTTAGCTTGCTCAGTTGAATTCTTGTGTACCTTTGGGTGTGTGTGTGTGTGCTGTGAGCATTGCTTCTTAGTAAAAGTGTTGAAAACTACACCACCAATCTTTGCCCTGTTGTAACCCCAAGCATGACAACAAATACAGTTTCAATCATGTTGAATAAGGACAGAGAGTAAGCTATTCTTCCCTCTCCTGCAGCCCTGCCTGGAAAATAAAAAACCTTAGTCAAAAATATAGGATCGAATTTATAAAATTGAGCATGGGGATAAAGTGTTTGAAAGCATAAGATGCTGAATTGTAGCATTGGTAGTAGTAATAATACTGACAGTAAATTACCTGCATTATGAATCTAGGAAAACCAGGACTTCTCCTCTGACAAATTCAGTAGCAAAACCTGGTGGTTTTGTATACATATGGTAAAATTTCTTTTTCACATATATGTCACCAGGCAATTTTATAAAGTCTGCAAAGAAGTAAAGCTTGCTTGGTCAGTTTTGGAAGGGAAGTTAGATATTTGTTTTTATTTCTTTTCTTTTTCAAAGGGTAACTGCAAGCAAATTAATTTCACTGTGGATATAACCTTGCAAAGTAAAATGTGATTAAAGCTTAACCCTAAAGTAGGGTTACCATATCCGGGCTGCCTAAATTGAGAAGACTCCTAGGTGGCAGCAAAGAGCTTCCTTTCTCTTATCTCTTGTCTGCCATCTAATGGTCTGGATTTTTGCAGCCCTCTTACAATCGTAAAGTTGTTTTATTTATTATTTCCTGATGGGGAATCTGGACATAATCAACAGGACATATTTGGAGGGTTGAAATGATGAATTTACACAAATTTGTAGCTTGACCCAATAGGAGCAATTTGAGAGGGGGAAAAATCACTCTCACAAAATGGTACCATAATAGATTGTGTCTATTAACAAAAGACCGATTTGTCAGAAGGCAGATCCTTAAGTTGAGCTCTACTCCGTGGAAGGGTTGCCATTAAGATGATCTTGAGTGAAGAAGACCTCTAGCTCTGGTCTTGCTAGCAGCCATACTCAAAGAGTTGTTTACTTTTTTTAAAAAAAAAATGACATGGTAGCCTTGTGAAAAGCTAGCCTTGTGATCTGTGTGTACAAGGATCCATTCTGGGAGATGTTGGATGGATGGATAAGTGGATGGATGAGTTAATGGATGGATGGGTGGGTGGATGGAGAGATAGAGATGGATGGATGGAGAGATGGAGGGTGGGAGGGAGAAAGAAAGAGAGAAAGCTATAGATGTTGCTCTAAACTCTTCAGAAGAGACATAGAACATGTTAAATTCTATTTTGATTTGTTGCCTTACCATCCTTCAGAGCCCCTTCATGCTAAAAGACAAATTTTGAATAGTTTGGAAGAGGCAGTTTTCCTGCCTGCAACAATCTCTCTTCATCTGCCAACTAGTAGATCATTGAGATGCAATGGCTTATGATAACTACATTTTTGTTTTGTTTTTGTTTTATAAATTGGTATAGAACTGGAGCAAAACATTCCAGGTGAACTGCAGCACTTTCTACCTACCATGGAGGCCCATCAGGAGTCTTCTGTGTTCCTGGTGAACATCTTGGAGGAACTGGATACTCAACAGAACTCCGTTTCCTATCAGGATCTTTGCAAATCACTATGTGCTCGATTTGACTTGTCCCAGCTGGCCAAATTAAGGAGTGTGCTTTTCTATACAGCCTGCCTGGATCCCAATTTCCCAGCCACTTTGTTCAAAGACAAAATGAGATGCAATGTCAACAATCAGCAGTCAAAGAAGATCATGGTCGCAGCTGATATTGTGACGATCTTCAACCTCATACAGATGAATGGGGGCATGGCTAAGGAGAAGCTGCCCACCACCCGAGAGAAAGTGAGAAAAAAAGAGTCGCTGGACTCCTGCCGATCAGACAATGAGGTGTGTAATATGGTGGACTGTGTGGTTCACTGTGAATTGCAAGATGGAGAATTCAGCAGGGGTTATTCCAGCAAGAGGGCATCCAAATGTAGAAAGGGGGATTGCAAAGACTGTCCTCCATTTGTACCCACTTCAGAGATGAATATTCTGCTGGGGGTAAATAAAGATGTCAAAGGCCAAACAGCTTCTCTTGATCGGTTGCAAGCATTGGCAACTTACACCATTGCCAATTCCCCCCCCTGTGAAATGCAGAGTACTTATTTCCCCATGAACATTGAAACTGACTCCATTTCAGACCAGGAATCACTGCCTCCCAGTTCAAGCATTAAGGAATCATTCATTCCAAGCGACGAGACCTTTTTGATGCAGTCATGCATACAGAAGCGCAACATCTTCAAGGAAGATTTCCATAACCTCATCACCATTTCGCCCAGCTTGATGTCACCGCCAGGCAAAGTGGATGATAAGCTTGGGGAACCCACAAGCCAAAAGGAGACCTCCAAGCAGACATTCTTCAACCACAGTTTTGAAATACCTTACAGTAACCAGTATTTGAACCCAATTTATTCTCCTGTTCCGGAGAAGAGACGAGCCAAGCATGAAAGCTTAGATGATCTCCAAGCTTCTACATATTTTGGCCCAACAACTATTCTTGGGCCTCAAGAAACAAAACGATGGTTGGGAAAGCCAAGCAAATCAACTCCATGGCCAGTCAAGAGTTGGAGTTTGAACACAGAGGAAGTACCTGATTTTGAAAGATCCTTTTTTAACAGGAAACAGCCAGAAGAAAAGATGCAATATCAAAGCTCAAAGAGCCAGCCAGGCAATTTTTCTGCTTCTGAGAGGCATCAACAATATCTCAGCTCTCAAGAACAGCAATCCATGATGCAGCCCAATTACGGGATCAAATCAAATGGGCATAAATCCAAAGACATCCCCTCCATCTTAGAAGTGGACAAGCGTGACCCCATCAAAAAATTTAAAGACAAAAGTATTAATTGCACTGCTGTTCAGCTTCAGAGCATCGATAAAACCAGTAGTGTTGGGACACAGACAGATCGCCAAGGACTGGAACACAAAAAATTCAAGGAGATGGCCCACCCAAACCAAAGTAAGTATGGCGAGAGACACTCCTTGAAGCAATCAGATGATGACTCTGAAATTGTCAGTGATGACATTAGTGATATTTTCAGATTTCTGGATGATATGAGTGTCTCTGGGTCTACAGGAGTGATCCAATCTTCTTGTTATAACAGCACTGGCTCACTTTCTCAGATCCACAAATCTGACTGTGAAAGCTCCCCTGAACACCATTTAGCTAAAATTTCCAATGGAAATGCTGGCAGCAACCTAGACAAAGCATCTCGGTTGGAGATCAGCAGCACCGATGACGAGCTGAAAACCAGCGTTTGCAAGCTAGTCCTCAGGATTGGGGAAATTGAAAAGAAGCTGGAATCCCTCTCTGGTGTCAGGGATGAAATTTCTCAGGTCCTGGGGAAGCTGAACAAATTGGACCAAAAGATCCAGCAGCCAGAGAGTGTGAGTGTCCAGCTTGATCTTAATTCCTTGACCAGTGAGATTCCATCAGAAGACAGCACCTCCCCCAGGATTTTTTCATGCCACAATTCGTCACATGGGGGGAAACTGGAGAATAACCCAGACTGGTGCTGCTCTGATGCCAGCGGCAGTAATAGCGAAAGCCTTCGCATCAAAGCCTTGAAAAAGAGCTTATTCACTAGGAGATCCTCAAGATCTTTAACCGAGGAAAACAGTGCCACCGAATCTAAGATTGCAAGTATTTCCAACTCTCCTAGAGACTGGCGTGCAATCACCTATACCAACCAAGCTGGCATCACAGAGGAAGAAATGAAAGACCGAAGTGGGAATGAAAACAAGGACTGGCACCGGAAATCCAAAGAGGTAATTCCCCCACTCCCCAGTTTCAATCGGTAATATATTCATGTCTTTGCATAGAGGTAGAGTTGAGATGTTCTCATAAGCTCCTAGTAGTAATACTCCTGTGTCTGAAGCACTGAAGAGGTGAAAGGATTTGTCAGTGACATCACCAATGCCCAACTGGGGACTCCTTTCACATCTCCATGAAGGTGGCCAGCAAAGTAGTGCCCATTTATCTACTTCTGGTCACCTACTTTCAAACCGCTGGGTTGGAAGGAGCTGGAGTGTGTGATGGGAGCTCACTCTCTCTCCCACAGCAATGGGTCTCAAATACTTTTCTAGATAATGAGGTTACTCCTTTTTTTAAATTATTATGTCTGTTTAATGAAGCAGACATTTAAAACAATGAAAGGTTGGCTATTCTTTTTATGCATGTTTGCAAGTCGTGACTCCTAGCAGCTAAACATTGTCGTTTTCATGGCAAGATTTTGGAAGTGGTTTGCCATTGTCTCCTTGCTAGGGCTGAGAAAGGCTGGCCAAAAATCACCCAGCTGGTTTGTGCATAAAGGAAAGTTAGAACTCACCATCTCCTGTTTGTAGCCTGATGCCTTATCCTCTACTCCAAACTCTTTGGGCATAAATGGGCATGTTTAAAATTGTGAAAAAGTGTGAAGGTGTATGCAAGATCTCTTTTGCATGGCAAACCCTTAATGTGACACCCTTCAGAACCAGCATGCCTGCATGTTTTCCATTGTTGTCTGATCAGAATCCACTTTGGGCCTTCTAAGGAGATACCCACCCAACTTTCGCACCTTGTTGCAGGCCAATCGGCAGTACGAAATCCCTCAGCCATACCACCATTCCAAACCACCCAAAGACGGTTTCCTGATAGAGCAAGTCTTTAGCCCTCACCCTTATCCAGCGTCACTCAAATCCCATATGAAGACCAACCCTCTTTACACAGACATGCGCTTGACAGAGCTGGCTGAAGTGAAACGAGTCCAGCCTTCGTGGACTGTTGAGGAATACACAAGGAATTCGGGAGAGAAAGGGAAGCTGGCTTCTTTAGACCTACAGGTGAGACATTTCTTTCCTCTTTCTGGGGATGCACTTCGCCTACAGGCCAGCGGCCCTCAACCTTTTGGGCACTAGGGACCGATTCTATGGAGGAAAGTTTTTCCATGGACCGGAGAGGGTATGATTTCATGTGCTGCCCACATCCTGTGGATGGGGGTGACAGTGTTCCGAGTAATGCACCCATTGAAAGCAGAACTCAGAGGCAGGTAGATTCCTCAATCAGCATGTTTATTGGGTACATTATATCAGCACAGGTGGTAAAAATCAACTCTGACAGTTCCCCGCGGTTTCCCCCTAATTAAAAGAATAAAACTCCCCCCCTCCTAAGTGTCACCGGTCACATTGTCCAATGAAGATGGAAGGCAGGCTCCTCTCCTCTTTCAATAGCCACCTGTTCCAATGACTTTGGTTCCCACAGGCAAACTTTTTGTTTTGACTGGAGCCGGACTGTCTATTTCCCCTCTCCTGTCCGCCTCTCAGGCTTTGTGGCAACTATGAGGCAGCACAAGATGCCTTCAGCCAGGTTTGCTTCAGAGTCGACAGGGGACTCTGCGTGGACCAGTTTCTGGCATGCCGCGCACCAGAGCTAGTGTCAGCATTCCAGCAACTCTCCATTCTGCCCAATAACTCCGAGACAGACATCCCCTCAAAAGATTCCTTTGTATTTGGATAGTAACTGGCACAACTGGGGAATCCTGAATCTGAAAGTTCCAGGCTTCCTTGCAATAAGTAAAAACTACAAATCCATCTCCTGCACTCATCATCACATCACATGGCCCAATCACCATCTGTCCCAAGTTAAGACTTCCTTTCACTATGCACAACACCACTTGACCTTGAATCAGAAAAAGAATGTTATTATGTCTAACTAGATATATTCCAATATATTCCCCCCTCCCGCTTTCCCAGGCTCAATTGTGGCAATGTGGGAGCATCGGATCTCAATATGGCTTCCAAAGCTGACAGCCAGTCCACAGACCAGGGAATGGGTTTAGAGTTAAGGTTGGGGACCCCTGGCCTAGGCAGATCCTATTGAAAATGATGTGTAACTATACATGAGCAGTAAACAATTGTGGGCTGGGTATTAAATTTATTTAATTGATTGTCACCCATTGCTATGCTACTAAGAGGGTCATCCAGTGTGATGGGGCTACCCAAACCCAGCAATAGGTCTATTCTATGCTACATTAATCAGAAGCCACTTCAGAGCTTCGCCTTCTTGGAAAAGGAGTTGGCAAACAGAAACAGGTTCAGAGGAGGACAAATAGTATAATTGCTGGAGTGGAAGCTAAGCCTGGTGAAGAGAATCAGAAAGAATGGAAAATGTTTAGCCTTCAGAAGAGGTGATAGAGTAGCACTCTTCAAGCATCAAAATAGGGTCACCCAGAAGAAGTCTCTTCTATCATCCTAGAAGAATGGTCTTGTTATGGTTGCTCTAAAAAGGCAATGCCCAACCAGAAAGAATAAGAGCAGATACAACCATAGAACCAGGGTTGGGCTGCTGAGGGTTTGCAGGGGTTCGGGAAAGTTTCTAGCTAAGATTCTGTGCAGTTTGAGGAACCCCAAATACCACTCCTGGCTGGCTCCACCCATCCTGCTCCTCCCAGGAGTCCCCACGCAGCCCGTTTTGGATGCAGGTAAGTGCAAGGCACATACAGAGGTTTAGGGAGAGCAAAAAAGGAGCCTCCTGGCAGTTCGGAAAAGCCAGAAATGGGCCTGTTTCTGGCTTCCAGAGAGCCTCCAGAGCCTGGGGAGGGCAAAAATGCACCGCCTGCTCTGGTACAGGAGGCTGACTAGGCCAGGACCTCCATGACCATGCCCACCAAGCAACTGGGCAGAGAACTAGGGGAGGTGTTTTTGCCCTCCCCAGGTTGCGGAAACTGTCTTTGACCCTCCGGAAGGACGAAAACAGCCAGGAATAGGATTTGGGGGATTCTCCAAATGGCACAGAATCTTAGCTAGGGGCTCTCCCGAACCCCCAAAAGCCCACCCCTGCCTTTCTCGCAATGTTGCTTTTCTCTTGGATTTTATGGGGATTTAAAATGGCTACTCCTAGCCACCTGGCTTCTGGAGGCTACCTAAGCTTCCTTGGACTGATGGTAAGCCTTGCTACCACCTACAGCTGATGAGCTGGATTGCATATTTGGTGGCTTGCCCGTTCTACCTGTTTGCTGTCATCCCAAATTCTAAGAGGGGATTTTGTCTGTGTGTGTGAAACTGCAGTTATCTTCCTTCTGATCTCCCTATAGACAAGATACTTCTTGCAGCTTCTGTTGCTCAGATGTCAAGATTCAGAATTAATCAGCCACTTGGAGCCCCAACAGACTTGAGTGGTGGAAAGGTTTAGTCACAAGGTGTTGCTCTGATTTGACTCGAGGGCATCTTGTCAGCTGTTTTTAGCAAGGCTGCCAAATTAAAAGCAAAGAAGCATTGCAACAAGGGAGTGTGTGAGATTGCAGCTTCAGAAGGAGACTTACCTGCCCTCCTTGGTAAATTTGCGGGCAGGAGAGTCAAGGGAACTGTCATGGTAGAGCTACCTACCTCTGCGCTGCCAGGTCCAGCCTGAGTTTTTCTTTTTCCTTTGAATAAATCAGAAAGTCTTCAAATATAATCATTCTCCTTTCCATCCTGTTACCTGTCATCTTTCCCTTGGGACCGGCCCACGATGCTGCTATCAATATCACAACAGTATAATAGCCTTCAGATCTGTGGTGACCCATCTGCCCCTTTTGATTTTCCCAGGGCTCTGTCTACTTGGGGTGGAAATTAAACAACGCAGGCGTGTTTTGCCTCTTATAGGTGTATCTCAAAAGGAAAAGCAAACCCAACATTTAATCTTTAAAGTTGAAATTGCACCAAATGTTTAAAATTGGGGACAAATACAATAAGTTCATGCTGCCTATGATTGTAAATCAGGTTAATTATAACTGAATTTTAATTTATTGGAATTATTTGCTGGGAATCTCTGGAAATAGAGGGCAAAAAGATAGACAGATCTTCATTCCCTCTGATGTTTTTTTTAAAATCAGTCCTTTGATTACCAAAACACAACAACATCATGCAGAATAAATTATTTTCACTTTTGTAGGGGGGCTTTGAAGTCCTATTTTCTCTCAGGCACTGAGCCAGGATGCTACCTGAACTACATCTGCACTTTTGGAGTTAATTGTCTCTGGTGCTATGTGTTTTTATTGATATCTTATTTTGCAATTTGATATTTTTAACCCTAGTTGGTTAGAATTACTTGGAAAATTGGGGGGGGGGGGTTAAAAACTGAATAAATAAATAAATAGTTCGATTTTTCTCTCCTGCCCCCTCCCCTCTCATTGTACTGATTGAAAATGAATATGTTTTTATACTTCTTTCAGTAAAGAGGAATTTTGGAGACTGTGATATCTCTCCACTTATTTAGTGGCAAGGAGACCAAAGAGCAATGGGAAAATCAGGTCTTTTACAATTTTATTTAATTCATATATAAGCCACCTCAACAGCCAAACAATTCTAGATGACATTCAATAAATTAATACATTTTAATAACAAAAGAAAAGAAAACTAACAAACCAGTAAAAAAAAAAAACCAAGAGAATATTTGTTGCTTAGGGTTGGAGGGTGGTGTCCTTGGTGCTCTTTGAGTGTGGTCACCTTTATGGAGATATTTCATTACCCAACTAGGTAATATCATCAGCAAATGTCCCTGTCAACTGCCACCTGATGCTTGCTTGTGTGCTTCATTACCATGTGGTGACAGTCTGCCATGAACTCTGGGGAGGGGAGGGGAGAATGCTTGGGGGAAAGCAAAAGTAATAACTGCTGTATCTCCCTGAGATGCTGTTTCAAGGTCACCCAACTGGGAGAAGAATGCAGCTACATATTAAGTACATTTGAAGTGTCGGTTCTGAAAATATCTTGCTTGAACCTGATTGGTCATGGGGGGGTAGGGGGAAGAGTCAGTAATGGGTGGCAGTTAAGGGAGGGGATAGTTGAATTTAGGGATTTTGCCACGTGATTCTCAGTTCTGGCTATGCATTACTGCAATACACTTGTATTCTAATAAAATTATACTTTCTCAATAAATGGAGCCAAGGATTGTTTCTATTTAGTGACAGCCACTCCCTTCCAGCATTGATAGAATAACAGAGTTGGAGGGGACCTTGGAGATCATCTAGTCTAACTCCTTTCTCAGGCAAGAAACCCTATACTGTACCATTTCAGACAAATGGTTGTCCTTAAAACTTTCAGTGTTGGAACATTTACAACTTCTGGAGGCAAGTTGTTCCACTGATTAATTGTTCTAACTGTCAGAAAATGATGGTGTTACTTAGTTGGGTAATGAAAAAAGAAAGAAAAAGAAACAACCAAGCTCAGAGAGACCAAGGACCACGCAAACTATATTTTAGTCTAGCAAGCAGGATCAAATCTACCCAGATTGTGAAGTTAGCATATTTTGCTCAGCCAGCTAATGAAGAATGCAATGAATGACTTATGGAGAGACAGGAGGAAATCTAACAGATGGAGAAACTATTTTTTTTAATGCCCTCTCCCCTTTTTGTTTGTTTTTAATTTCAGACTCAAGAATCTTTGAATCCCAACAACTTAGAATACTGGATGGAGGATATCTATACACCAGGATATGATTCGTTAATAAAGCGTAAGGAGGCTGAATTCCGAAGAGTGAAAGTTTGCAAAATATCTGCTCTAATTGCAGCAGCTGCCTGTACAGTTATTTTGGTCATTGTGGTTCCAATATGTACTATGAAATCGTGAATCCTATAATGGTCGAATTGACACCTGCCTTGTATAGAACTTTGCTTTGGATATCCCATTGATATTTAACATACCACTGTATGGCAAAAAATAATTTTAAAAAAATGTCTCCACTAGTTGGGAAGGATACGTTGGACGATCCCAACAAGCAGGCATGCAAAGAATTTTGTGTGTTTTTTTAATGTATTTATTTTAAAGAAAAAAAAGTACAACATCCTTTTCAACCAGCAACATGCCTAGCAGACTTAAAGGCACCTCATTTTAAATTTTTACAAGTGGATTTTCCCTGCGCCCTCTGAAGACAAGAGAAAATATCTTCCTGTAACTGGAAATGGATGAAGAGCAAAAGTGTTTTCCCCCTCTTCCTGTACTTTTATACTGAATTATATATAGATGACTATTAATTCTTGTACAATATGCATTTACCAGACAGAGAGCAACACTTAAGCGTTTCCCGAAATGTAAACTATCTGAATGTATTGTGCATCCCATTTTGTTACACATCCCTTATGGGTTAAGTTTCGAAAACAGATTGTGTGACCTTGGAGAGAGTGTGTGTTCCTACCCTTGGAATTAATAAGGGCTGTTTGTATTCTGGTCTTGCCCTACAAGTTCCTTTGAGATCATCCCAGGGTATGGAGGTCAAGTGCCATCTGCTATAGACCAAAAAAGGTTGTGTTGGACAAGCCCTTTCTGAAAGGGGACATTTGCATAAATGTCGCATTTCCAAAAGAACCTGGCATGTGCTTCACAGTCCTTTTGACTTTTTTTTTCACCTTTGCAAATGGTACCTAAATGTCTTCCTTTCATCCTGCTTTGGCTACCTGAAATAAGATGACTTCCAAGAAGTGCTTCTTGGCTTTGATACATTCTTGGAACTATAAGCAAAACAGTGAAAATGTTACAAAAATCCACCCTGGTTCCTTTTATGTGTTGAAGGAGGCTATTTAAAGTAGCACCCTTGTGAAGGCAAATATACATGAACCAGGATAATGTCCAGGATCCAATCTGAGAGGTTTTCTCTTCCAAGTCAGACTTGTGCTGGAGTCTGACTCGGGGAATTTCTCTCTAGCAGAGAGACCAGCACATACCCTGCTAGAGTGAAGTTCCCTGAAAATGGGCTCCAGCATGAGTTCAAAAGTTCAGGAGACAAAATCTCTGGTCCCAGTGACTGACCCAGATTGAATCCTGTAGCACCACTGTGGATGTACACAATGGAAACAAACAGTCATCATTCACACACATTAATGCAGAGGAGCAAGTCATCTGTCATAAGATTCCTCTTTTGGGACCATTTTTGGCAAAATGTATATTAAGCCCTGATTCAGATATTTATCGAGGATGCAGTGGCTCAATGGCTAAGATGCTGAGCTTGTCGATCAGAAAGGTTGGCAGTTTGGCAATTTGAATCCCTAGTGCTGCGTAATGGAGTGAGCTCCCGTTACTTGTCCCAGCTTTTGCCAACCTGGCAGTTCAAAAGTACGTAAAAAAATGCAAATAGAAAAACAGGGACCACTTTTGGTGGGAAGGTAATAGCATTCCGTGTGCCTTTGGCATTTAGTCATGCCGGCCACATGACCATAGAGGCATCTTCTGGTAGTGCTGGCTCTTCGGCTTTGTAATGGAGATGAGCACTGCCCCCTAGAGCCAGAAATGAATAGCATGTATGTGCGAGGGGAACCTTTACCTTTACTTTACAGATATGTATCACACCTGGCTATGCATGGATTGGCAAGGTATTCTGCAGCTGGGCATAAAGTGGTTCTTCTCCAATGCATTTTTTGACAATGTTCATTTGAATCCCTCTTCTGTAAGAAACATCTTGTGCCTTTTGAAATGAGTACTAATAGGATTGTAATGGTATCTGCCTGCATTTGGCTACCAGATTTTCATTTTTTTTTAAATAACCAAACTTGGGTATTTACACAATGCAGCTAATCAAGTTCACCATAACCAAACTGGCTAAGGTACTGTGTCAGTCTCAAAAATGGGTGAAGCCACTCACCTGGTTAATCATGTTAGGCAAATGCAGGCCAGGATCAGATCAGGAATATGATACCCTTGGGAACCAACTAGCGTATTTTGTATTCTTTATATATGTCTTGAATTTTTTTTTAAATGTCCACCTTAGTAGACTATTTTGGAAAGATGAATCTGGAGAGAGAGCTTGTTAGATTCTTTGCATTTTTCTTTCTTTCTTTATTGTAAACTTGATGGCTAACCAGGATTAATTCCAAACAATTTGTGAAGTGGTTGCCAGTTCAGCTCACTTAGTTATGGATCAATGGAAATTTGGGCAATGCAACTGCTGTCTTCAGTGTGTAAACAGAAGGTGTTCATACTCACTTACTCTCTAGTTCTCAACTTTTCCTTGCTCCATTCCAGCTAAATTAGGAATGAGATGTTCTATTGTTTCAATTAGGATTTGAGGCAAGGCTAGTTTTTTAGCTCACTTTGAAACCCTGAACCAGGTTCAGAGTAGAGCAACACCAAGCATTGTAGCCTGCTGGTTGTGCAAATTGTTCAGATTGGACGGAGGTATGATAGAAACCATAAAGACATTGTGTGCATTATGGAGTCATCAACCAACCACACAAATTATGTCATTTGTGTTAGCCAAATCATTATGCAAAAGACCTACTACTCACCATGATGTCATAATACATATAGTGTCATCTACTACTACTTCTTATAGATGCCCGTGGAAATGGTAATCAAAGGGAATAAAGTGAATTAGAATGCATGTCAGCATCCAATTCATCGTTCATGTATTCCAGCCTCTAGCTCAGTTCCAATATTCCAGTGCAGCCACCACCTAAGTTCTTTCATACCTGTGTGAACCATTAATGATCAAAGTACTATATGTGAGGGCAGACTAAATTCCAGAGGCCAAGACTGTCCTTCTTAGTGGCAATGTTCACACCATACATTTGACCAAGTAGAAACACCTGATGGATAGCTCTTGCAACAATCAACAACTGGATCCAAACCCATCATCTGTGAATAGAGTCCCCAACATTTTCTTCAGGAACTGCCCAGTATTCCATGAGCCCTGGCTATTGGTCATGCCAAGACACCAGATCTAGCTGCAAAACTCCAGATAAACTCTAAATCACAGCAAAGAGAAACAGAAATGGCTATTGTCACCTAGAAGTTTTCTTGATTTTTGTGGCCCAGTTCTTTTAGCACTAGGAAAGGCTTAAGAATATGGCCTCCCACAGTGGAAGCAGCTTCAATCTATAGCTGTTATGATGGAATTTATGTCGTCTGCTAGATGGCTATGAAATTTGTAGTGGACAGCTTGGCAGTTGTGCAGAAGAAGGCTTGGAACAGTGGTATGTTTTTCCAGGATCTCCAAAAGAAAATTTTTGTCTGAAATAATAGGACATTTCTGCCAAGTGATATATTTTTGTTGTTCATATGGTTCCTTGCCAAAATATTGAAAGCCTGATTCCAGAGGCCACTGTATATTAATTCAAGAATTATGTATAATAAACCAAGAATAAACCAACCCAACGCTCAGTGGATCTCAACAGTATCCAAATACGATGTTCTCCAAGGCTGTTCCTGAATGAACTCAAATCAGTGGACCACACTTTCTGCCCTCTTGGTTATTCATTGTTTATTTCTTTTGATTGCACCAGTGTGCAGTACCAATATTTTTATTTGGTGGCAGATTCCAAACATGCTTGAGGGCACCAATGAAAACAGCTGTGATGACATCAAAGGGACAACAGGTGCATGTGTTGTCATCCCCACCTCCCGGGTGGATGCCCATGAGTCAGAACCAGAATTGGAGATCATGCACCACATTTCTTAACTGAAAATTTTCCTTAATTTTTATGACCCTGATTCTTCAAAGTCCAGCTGAAGTATTTAAAACATGCTGTAGTTGGCATCAAGCTCTTCTTATGTGCAAGGTATGCCTTCCCATTTATGGCTGAGTTTCTATGTTGTGGGAAATACTTTTGTTTACTTTGGCCTTAGAGCCTTATGCAGACTGGAAGTAGCTCCAAAAATATGGTTCATGGCTTAGTGTTTGGGGAAGACATCAAGGCTTCTGTTCCACTGGTTCATTGTTCTCATGGTTAGGAAACTTCTCCTTAATTCCAGGTTGCTTCTCTCCTTGTTTAGTTTCCATCCATTGTTTCTTGTCCTGCCTTCAGGGGTTTTGGAAAGTCATTGGTAGCAAACTGGGATTAAGTTGTGGAAATACAGCTAACAATCGACCTCCTTTTCATCCCAGGCATAGTGATGGTAGCATGGAAAAGTTTGCACAGGTGGATTTAACAGATTACATTTCCTGCGTACTAGAAAACAACATAACCTGCAGTCTAGCCACCATTTTTTGGTTTCATTCCAGCTTTAGCTCGAGTCTTTTCCATTGAATCAAAATAGGGATTGGGATGTCTTACAGCTGTAACTATACACAGCAGAGAAAGAGTTACAAGACTCTAAAATGCTGAAGAGGGAACAGGGAAGAAGAGATTTGCTTTTATTCTACCATTGTTGCATATGCCGCTCAGTGTTTCTATTTCTGCTATGTGTTCCCACCAAAATGCATAAGTTGCTGGGTGCTTATATTAATGACCCAAGTTTCAAGCACAAATGGGAAATGTTGATATTCATGCAGTACACACTTCATTAGGAATTAATGCTGTGCAGGAAAGATCTGCATATTATTAGTTTTTGCTGAGTGTTATTTTTTTTAAAAGAGTTATTTTCCTTTGCCTCTTCTAAAGAGAAGAAAATGTTGTCATCTGCGAATTCTTAATGCTTTTATCAAAATGACCAAAGCAGCAGGGCACCATCACATCATAAGCTCTGCCTGTTTGGGAGGTGTGCGATGCCCTGACATCTAAACAAAAAAGGGGGGTCCCACAATTCTGTGGGGATATTTTCAGATTGACCTGATTTCTTTTCAGGTTTTCCACAATTCCCAGCAAAATGCAATCCATATTCTTGTCGTCTCAACAACTTTTTAAAAATGTTCTTAGTTC